TGAATAATTAATTTCAGTTCTGGAAGAAATGAATTCCCATAATAATTTCTATATTTGCAGCAATGCTATTGAATTGTGATAGAATGGAAGATGGAAGAGTGTCTATTTTGGAAGAGAAACCATTGCTGTTTGTGCGAAACACTCTTAATTTGATAAAGTGAAACTATTAGAATTGTTAATATGCAAGTGATAAAGGTTGATAGTCACATTTTTACATTGAAAAGATCAGTGTACTAATGAAAGGAATCCGAAAGACGGAAGTCAAATGAAAAAGAAGAAAACAAGAATTCGTATATTTTCATTTTAAAAGAGAAATAATGAATAACAGGAGCTGAAATTGTTATGCATATCGCCTCGAAATGCTCATTCATAAAAAAAGATATGATTTTCAAGTTATCAGTTTTCCATTTATGTGTTTAAAATACATAAAAGGAAGAAAGTGTACCTATATAAAACAAGTATGCTGTTGGAAAGGTATTCAATCCATTTTAGATTTTTAACCAATTTCAAAAAATTTACATAAGTTGTATAATTGAGCGTGAAATGAAGCAAAAATGTGACATCTCTATTGAAATTCGTCGTAAGTCATAAAGACTGGCGTTCAAATTAAATAAATAGCCAGAAGATTTGACCTGCTATTAGTTACTACTAATAGTAAATCAGTTAATTAGCACAGGTGTGCATGCAAGCATGCACGCCTATGACTGCAAGCATATTTCTCACTCGTCAACTGCTAACAATTTTGATATTCATTTATGAGACTAAGTTAAGGGATTTCTCTTTCAAATTAAATTAAGGGATCACTATTATTTATCTTCCTTTCACAATTCTTATTATTTTGTTATATTAAATCATCTGCAGCCAATGTTAGCTAAATATTAGCGTTAAGAATGATATGCGACTTAATGGCTGATCCAAACTGGCATTAATCATAATGTACAGAAAGTCCAATTGATGTTAATGCCAATTCATAAATTAAATAAGCAAGGTTAATTAAATGATATAAAAGCAATATTTAGTCAATTTAAAAGTAAATAACTTAATAAAGAAAGAATGTATTAAGAGAATGTATAGAAATTTTCATTTGAAATTGGAAAAACTTGACATGGAGATATTCTTTTAAGCAAAAATGTCAATACATACATACATTTACTTATTTAAAAGTTAATGTGCAATTGCTCATTGTTAAGTTATTACTAATTCTCATTTGCTATTCCTAAAAATCAACGATATTAAATTTAAAAATGTAACAGAAACTTTCGTGATACCTAAAGTGAACATTTTCAATTCAGATGAAAACTAATAGATTTACTTTCGAAATTCGTACTTCATTTTAAAATTTCAGAGAAAAAAATACACTATCCAACAGTTAAATCCTGTTAATTTCTATCAAAAAAAAAAAAAAAAAAAATGAGAAACTTCACTTTTTTGTCAGCTGTTTTCACAAATTAAAAAAGGCCATGATAAATTGTTGTCGTCGATCACAAAGCACTTTTTATCGCTTTTCATTCTACTAGCTTTGTTCTTCCTTTTCTATCAAACTCGAGATATTTAGAGAATAGAGCACAAGGAATCCATTGTCGAAGTATAAAAGGCGCTATCTTCAATAATTATAATTAATTCATCCCTTTTTTTATTTTCAATTTTTAAGGAAATGTTTTGAGTTATAATATTTATCAGTGAAGACTTCTGCGCCGATATTTTTCAGAGTTCTAAAGTTATTACTCTTAAGTAATGAATTACAAGTAAAACTTTAGGAATTATAAATTATAATAGGACTTATCTGATATGACAAAATTGTTGGTATATCTTGCTTTCATCATTTATTGTGGTGGCCAAGCCAACCAAGCAGGAGGAGAAAGAAATGCAGCAGGTATGAATCTCACTTTTTCATTTCTCTTCCAGGTATGTTTATCATGAAATACAAGTCTAAGTATGTGCTCCGTGTATTCTGTAATATTTCAAAAATTTCTGTTGAAACAGCATTTGACGGTGGAAGTAACTTCAGTTCGAATGCCAGTACATTTACTTTTGTAGCACACCATGAATTACTTTGTCACTCAATTGCTTTGGCAAAAAACTTGAAATGATTCTTATTATTGCAGGTTAAAAATAGTGAGAACTAACAAGTTAAAAATAGTGCGATAATTGAGTGACAAAGCAATCATTTCAAATTATCTCAACGTGACATCAATTTCAGCCGCGGAGATTATCACAGATTATAAAGTTGACAAGTTATGGAATGATGGCTTATTAATACAAACAACGCAAGTAGAAGAATGTCTGTACATTTCACAATGAATTAAATAATTAACTGGAATTTTTTAGTTTTGAATAATTAATCATTTCTGGAATTTGATTACTCTTCTAAGTTACATTTGTCGGTTTTATTCAATTCTGGAAGATATGAATTTATTTTAATGATTGTAGCAATGCTGCCAAATTGTGATAGAACGGAAGATGGAAGAGTATCTATTTTGGAAGAGAAACCATTGCTGTTTGTGCGAAACACTCTTAATTTGATAAAGTGGAATTATTAGAATTGTTAATATGCAAGTGATAAAGGTTGATAACGATAATGATAGCCACATATTTATAAATTGAAAAAATTGGAGCACCAATAAGTGAAATTAGAAAAAGTGAAGATGAAATATAAAAGAAGAAAAGAATAGGAACTGATAAATTCAAAAGATTTTTGCTCAAAACGATTGTAAATTTCATTTAATTACAAAAATAGTAATAAAATGCAGAAATGTTGTGCATATTTTGAATAAATTTTCCATCTTGTTACTACTAGATATCTTGACTTACTTTAAATTTGTACAATTTAAACTGAACCTTTTGTTTCTTGTCTACGAGCAAGATCAACCCAGATATCAAGGAGGACGAGAAGACTGCCATCGATTGTTTCTTTGTTATTAACTGATTAGAGAAGATTTTTAAGGGTGTAGGAAGTGGGCTTAACTTGCAGATTAACATTTGCAGTGAAGAACAATGAACACGGATACACATTTACTATTTGAGGTTTAGATAAAGGATTTACTGTTTCAAAAATGGAATATAACAAAGGAATAACGAATTGGTATATAGCAATAAATCATTGGAATTATTCTAAACATTTAGTATGAAATAAAATTTTTTCGGTTCACCGGCACTTACCATCATTTACTACTACTACTACTACTACATGCACTTTTCGCTACTTGTCACCATTTATCTGCTATTACTTACTACCACTTGTCACCAATTACTATTAGTTGCTATTATTTAATACCGATCGGTATTACTTGCTACTACTTCCTACTAACTGCCATTATTTCTTACCATCTTCTATAACCTGCTGCTACTTACAACCACTTACAACCGGTTAATAATGCTTGCTACCGCTTATTACCACTTCCAATCACTTGCCACCACTTGCAATCATCTATCACCACTTAATACTACTTGTTATAAATTACTACGACTTGCTAGAAACTGCTACTGCTTGTACTCTTTGCTATCATTTAGTCCTACTACTAACTAACTGCAACTACTTACTACCATTTGCTACTGCTAATTACCACTTGTTACTATTTGCTACCAATTGCCATCTCTTGCAATCGTTACCACTTGCTACTGCTACTTGCCATAAATACAATCACTTGAAACGCAGATTACAATTTGCATTCGCAAAATTTTTTTTTTTTTGCAGCTACTTGCTACCACTTTTTACCACTTACTACCACCATTCACTGCTTGCTACCATTTGTCACCATTTGCTACCGCTTAATATTTCCGCTTAATTACTACTACTTATTACTATTTACCACTTGTTATTGCTTGTTACCATTTGCCAGCACTTGTTATTACTTACTGACTCTTATTATCGTCTAATATTAAATCAAAGTAATACACAGGATGAATTTTTGGGACTGAGTTGAGTTTCAAGAATAATCCCATAAATGAAATAAGTCAAAGTATCATTTCATGCGCATACGATTTTCTTCATTACATTGTATTTTGGTTTGTATCCTTTCGCTTTCTTAATGACTCTTTCTTCTCGAACCATTTTATCTTTTAACAAACAAAATGTCTTATAAGAGAATTCTTAAGATGAAGTAAAAGTAAAAGCGAAGATTGATTTCTCGCCACAATTTCACCGGCCGCAAGCGCTTTTGGTCCACGCACGGCATTTTTAGTCCGCTATATGGCGCTTTGTGTCAAGTTGCTAGGTTGTCATTTTCTAAGGGGAATGGTGTGATAAGTTTGAGTAGTTTATATAAGTTGCATTATAGTAGATATATGAGTTAAATTGAATGCAACGAAAATTACTTATTTTATCTTAGTTGTTAGAAAACATTTTATTACTATAATAGTTCGTAAGTTCTGCTCCTGCAATAAATTTTTATGATAATCAGAATTGGTAAGCCTGAAAAGATAATGTGAATGTGATGGTACTATGAGTAGGAAGAAGTTTATACATTGTTTTGTTTTCTTGTGAAATTCAGTCATTTGTCTATTTGAATTTGGATGATTTTTCGTTTCTTTTAGGTATTTGGACGGAACCAATCAATAAAAATGAAAGTTATATTTGAAACCAATCAATGAATAATTGGCACCATATGAGGGAGATGGTTATATGAATATTCAATACGCTGTTAAGTCTTTTTTTTTTAATAAACATGTCAACAAACTATTTAACAGATAAGATAAATAGCGGACAAAAAAGAGAAAAAAATAAGATAAAACAACTTAAAGTAACTTCATAAGAATGCTTTACTTAGGTCTTTCTTGTTATGATAGTTGAAATCTTCCGATATTTTGATATCGCAGTTCAAATAGAAATGAATCTTTGTTGTGAAACATTGATTATTTCAAAGACGTTAGGTTTTTTTTGCTTCTATCGTCACTTGTTATTTCGACGCAGAGATTATATTACTCATTACGTTAGAAAAAGTGCTTTTACTTTATTAGTAATAGTTCCACAGAAATGAGGTATTAATTTGATTTGTTTAGGTATGGCATCGATTGGTAATTTTTTGATAAGATGGTTACTTTTGGTTGCTTTAATTGCAAGTGTATTAACAACATTTTATATAAATTTTATTCAAAATGATCAGGTTAGTATTTTAAGAATGAATTTCAACTTAATTTCATGAAATTTTCATGAAGGATGTAGTTTTTCTGTTGCTTTTACTATTATTTTAGCATTTATTTACCGTAAATTCAGAATACTGTTCGAAGATTTCACATAGTAAGGCATCCAAAACTTAAAGCAGCAAATATGATGAAAAATGAATCAACGGTTGAAGAAATTGTTGCCGAAACGCACCATATGAAAAGTGAATCAGCTTCCGTTGCATCACATTTGTCCGAAGTATGTTTCTTTTTATATATATATAAAAGTATGGAAGTCTCCAACAAGTTTAAAAATATAAAGCAAACATGCAATTTTTAACTTCGAAGTATGTAAATAAATCCGTATCATTTTCAGAATAATGATGAATATTCGGTGCAAATATTCTATTATCCGTGGTATGGAAATCCAGAATTTGATCATGGAAAGTATTATCATTGGAATCATCGTTTTATCCCACATTGGGATTCGAATATTTCGGAGAAATATCCTACAGGTAGTTATGGTTTTCTTAAGCATTCTAGGACTGCTATTTTGCTTTTATAGATGCTTTAATTTTAATACTGCTTTTAATAAACTCTTCTTCCATATATACATTCATTTAACTAAATGCTTCTTGAATTTGTTATAAAAAATATATTGTCTTGCCTTTATCATTTTTCGAAACCTAATAATAGTACAGTGCTTCGTTGCTTCGTTGCTTAAAAGCAGTGTGCTAAATTTGATGTTGACAAATGGATAATTAAAGGATAAAATTTCATTTTAGGTTTTCATGACCCACCGTTGGATATTGGTTCCAGTTTTTATCCATTTTTGGGACCGTATAGTAGTCGAGATCCAGCAGTAATTGAGCAGCACATGAAATGGATGTCGTCAGCTGGTATAGACGTTGTTATTGTTTCATGGTTTCCTCCAAAAATTTCCGATGAACAAGGTATTATTATTTATTGTTCTTTCGTTTGCTTGTTTCTTTAAAAAAATCTACTACTTTAAAATTTTTGACTTAATCCTTCATCTAAATTGCAAGCATTTAAAGATTTTTGATAATTAAGAAAACCTGTTCCCGTAAAGAATCGAAAAAATCATGGTGAAACTATAATTATAGAATCTGGAATTTGAAATTTTTTATTTTAAAGTAAATATTTTTAAGAGCTTTTAATCTTTTGATTTTCAAGAATTTCAAGCGAACAGTATTAAATTTTAATAGTTTCATTTTTCAGGCATTTTAGCTTTCTAGTTTTAGTTAATTTTCCTTTTTTCTAGGGCATCCATGGGATGATTTAATACCCATTTTGTTAGATGTTGTGGCTAAGTATCGCATGAAATTATCTTTTCATATGGAACCATACAGACATAGAAGTGGTGAATCACTTCGTGCTGATATTGAATATATTATTGACAATTATGGTAATCATTCAGCTCTGTATAAGATGAAAAGGCCAAAATCACGAAAAAGTTAGTGAAATTATTTATTGTTACCGACTGGTATTCCAGTATTTTGTTTTTATTTCATTATTTTGATATACTGTTTTAATTTATGAAAAAGAATTTTGACAGTGTAATAATCTCTAGAACTCTCGATTTGAATTTTGTTAGCATACACATTTAGAAAGTCCGAATTAATGTAAATCTTTATTTACTTCATCCTATCTTCTGGATATTTTTGCTTATCAAAAGAACACTTGGAAATGTTCAAATTATTTGTCAAATTTTTAGTGACTAAAAATGAAAAAAACAATCATAATGGTGACGAATATTTGCCGTTATTATACTTTTATGATTCGTATCTTGTACCTTTTGATGAATGGAAAAAGTTAACTGAACCATCTGGGAAGTTCAGTGTACGAAACAGCAAATACGATGTCCTTTTTATTGGCAAGTTCAAATATGTTTTGATTGTTAAACTCAAGTTTTATTTTTCTTCAACTTACAATCTTTCCGTCCGGAATATAAGGGAATTTCTAGTTCTGGATTTTGTATGTTAGTCGTATAAAAAGAAATTTAACTTAATTACGAATGTTTATGTCAAATTTCAGGTCTCTTAGTTAAATCAGAAGATAGGCATTCATTGTTGGCTGCTGGATTTGATGGAATTTATACCTACTTCACAGCTGAAGGATTTTCTTATGGTTCGACGCCTTCATCTTGGCCTTCATTGGGCGCTTTTTGTAGGTTTGTGTAAGAATTTCTTGAGATCAAATTACTTTCATAACTAATATCGATTAAAATTCTGATTAAATTTCTTCAGTGTTATTTTAAAATAATTTAATGAATGATTTGTGCATAGATTCTATTTAAAATGTAAGAAATACTGAAAGTAAATCTAACTTAGAGACAGTAAACAAGAAGAGTGGATATGAAACGAATGAGAGAAGTTTAATTCTAATTTCAGTAATACCAAGGTTGTGATTAAAATAATCAGCGATGTTTCAGGAAAAATGGCTTAGTTTTTATACCTTCGGTGGGTCCTGGTTATGATGATTCTCGTGTGCGACCTTGGAATGCAGCAAATTTTAGGGATCGAATGAATGGCAAATATTATGCGGATATGTTTGAAATGGCGCACATTGCAAAGGTATAGTGGAAATATTTCAAAAATAATCGATAACAAATTACATTTTATAATTGTAGATTGAAGGTTCAGTTGAAGATCATTATATATTACACAATCTAATCCCATTAAGTAATACTTTACTCACTTGATTGAGATAGAGATAGCTTCTGAACATTGATATTATAATAAAATAACATATGTATAAAAGTAGATATTCATTAGAATTGATAAATTTCGTCTTTGACTAAACGATCCATTCACATATACTGCCAAAAATCATTAGATATTAATTAATTGCAGAACTACTAACTTTTATCGAAGTTTTTTCTTTCGACTTTAATTAAGTGATAATTTGTAAAAAACAGTAGTACATCATTTCTGTCCACTTGTCTAAACATATTTCACCAAAGATTATAATTTTTTTTCAAAGATTGTAATAATTTTATTTATCATTATCTGGAAAATAAATTAGAGCCACAAAATTAGTTTAAATTGATAGAGATAAAGAAAAATTGATATTTTAAGGCAAATATCATAGCAATAACATCATTCAATGAATGGCATGAAGGTACACAAATTGAACCAGCGATACCATTCACTGATAACAACACGGGTTTTGTGTACAATACCTATGTTCAGGGACCGGAACAGTATCTCCACCAAACGCTTGATCTTATTAAGAAATATTTTACTCCAATGCACAAAATTGCCCCTGAAAAAATTGTTAATATAGTTAAATAATTATGGTTATGTTATTACTAGATTTAGAGTATATATAGTATCAGTTTTGCTTTTGAAATAGATATTTATGAAATACATATGTAATTTTCTAATATGATTATTTTTGCGTTATGAATTTTTGTATAGCTTAATATTAGAATTTGAAAATATTACAGTATGTTATTTCGTTACTTGACTTAGAAAAGCGCAGTTGAATGTATTAAGAATTTAAAATTTTTTTACACTTTTTTGTGAGAAGTAGTATGAAATAGCAGCCAGCAAATCAGAAATGGGACTGATGTAAATAATTTTGTCGAAACTTTTGCATTAAAATTAATTATCCATTAATAAATCAAATCTTGTATTTTAAACATTTCATCAATTCAGCGAATTTTATGATTTTTTTTTTTCTAAAATTATATAATTTTATTTCCAGAATACTTGGTTTTTAGCTTACTAAAATTATTTGACAGTTAAAATAATAATAATTTGTTACATGATGCATTTTAATGCTTTTGTCTTATATAACTTACTACTTAATTATGTATTTACTGTAAGCATTCAGGGCTATATGGAAATGATATTTAATAAACTGTAAATTAAAGCAATTTCTCCAAGTTAAAAAAAAGTGGTATGGAAGATAGCTTACATTTTAACAATATTTGGCTCATGAATTGTTTAGCATGTATGCAATGCAGTATTGGTTCAATATTTTCTAAAAGATTTAAAAAAGATGTAAAACTAATGTGAAATTAATAATGTTTAATTAAAAGCATTCATTACTTAATTTTATGTAACTGTAAGAAGAATTGATGATATTATCAATATTGGTTATTGTTTTTTTTTTTTTTGACTAACAATAACTTCAGTTTTTTTATTTATTTATATAATTTTACATACATGTAGGACGTACAAGATTAATGCTTAGCGTGGGGAAAAAAAAAAAAACATTTAATAATAACAAATTTGAACTAAATTTATTATTTTTTATTTGTTTTATATATATTTTTATTTAATTCAATAATTTGTTCTTTTTTGATTGATTACTGTTTTTTATTTTTCCAAATCGCATAATAAAATTGGAATAGTACATTTTTCTTGTTTCATTCTTGAAAATTTTATTTCATGATTGCTTAAACATCATAATTGTTAATGTAATGATGTGAAAAAAAAAATGAATCATTTATTAATTATCCACTTTGCTCTTCTCATATGTATATAAATTAAACGAAATTTGATATATAAGAAAAAGTAGAACGTACCATTTAGTACGAACGGTTTTACTGTTTCAGGTTGTAATGTGATTTTGAAAAAGTTCAAGGTTCAAACTTATTATCATTGCTATATTATTTTTGAAGCAAAAAATCATAGCTAACTCTACCGACGTGATTTGTTATCTACCTTTGAATTATTTGAGATTTTTTTCTCATATTTAAAACATATGTGATCATATTAAAATATTAACACAGGAATATAATCTTTTCTTTTTTCAAAATCGGCAGCAAAAGTTTAAAAAGCAAGTATCTTTTGTTAGTGTTAAGATCAGAGTTTAGGTCATCGCTGTCGCTTTTTGATTTTGGAAGTTAGAAGGAAACTGATCTTCGGCCTTAATGCAAAAAAAAAAAAAGGAGGAAGAGAAATAATCTTTAACTAATTGATAAGTTGTAGAGAAGATAAGTGATGATTAATTAATTATAAAATAACTAAATGATACATAATAATAATAATATTAATCATTGTATTTGCTTATAATTAGGAAATAATTATTTTATTTTTTTTTTTTTTTGCTAAAACATTGTTTTATTTACAATAAAGTTTGATTAAATTGCAGTTTTATTTAATAATATAGATCATTTTTCAAACGTATATATGTATCATTTACTTGTAACATTATTTTATCATAAGTAAGTGAATCGATCACTTAGAGATGAGCAATATCAATCGATCTGATAGATTATTATATTTATGCATAACTATGTCTTCGCATTTTACTAGTGTTTTATCATTTTGCTATCAGTAACGAAGCTAGTTTCACTCTTTATGGTTCATTTTACTTCTTATATCATTTTTTCTGTTTTTTTTTTTTTTTTTTTTTTGTAGTTTCTAAATTTAAATTCATACTACAATTTTTGTTTTGCATTGTAGCATTGTATTTTGTAAAATAAAATGAATAAAAAGAAAATGAAGTAAAAATTTTGTTAACAAATTTTGTTGCATATAAATAAGAAAGTGAAATAATGATTGTTTTTTTTTTTTTTGAATAAAAGTTTTAATTGCATAACAACAATTTTATTTAATGATATATTTTAGAATAATTATTGTCTAGTTAAGTTAAATTAGTCATTGACTAATTAAATTATTTAAAATCTTTCTTTGCTATCACTAAATTTTATAGAAAAAAAAAAAAATTATTATGAATAACAGTGCATATTTCAATGTTTTATTATTTGGTTGATATTGTTGACATTTTCAATTACTAAAACGAGTTTTTTTTTTTTTTTTCAATTTCACATATCGATTATTTAATTGCATGAGAAATAATTTGCACGAAAATTGAAATAATCATTCGTTGAAAGTTTTCATATTTTACCATTTCATTAACAAATTTTATAATTTTCAAAATTGCAAAATTTCAATGTTTTATTAAATTTTTGCAAAATAATTTTTTTTTTTTTTTTTTTAAAATTCAAAACAAAAAATTTTTCATTTAAGGTTTAAAAAAAATTTTTATGGAAGCTTTTTATTAAATTTATCAATCTTTAAATGCTGAATCTCTAAATTTTTTTTTTTTATTAGAGAAAATGCGATCAATTATTGTAAGTGATGGTAGCTATTTTTTAAAAATATAAATTATTCAATTGAATATGTGGTAATTTTATGGTTTCATAAATAATATTTCATTTTTTATAATTTATAATAATTAGCAATTTTCATCATAAATAATAGTATTCTATTAGTAAAGTGATTTTTGTTTTAAACAATAAAAGACATTGAAAATTTTGATGAGATTACTTTAAAAACAAATTTATCAAAATTATAGATTAATTCATTTCTTTTTTAAGCATCGAATAAATTCACAATTGTATATATTTCAATTAAATATGCTTAAGATTTTTTTATTTAAAGTATTTCTTTATATTTATATTTATTTGTACTATTATATTTAATTATACATGTTTATTTTTTCTTTATAATTTCATTTCTTTTTCAAAAAAGAAAAAAATTTTTTTTTTTTTTCAAAAATGTAAATGTGAAATAATATGAAAGGGATTGAAAATTTTTATAAGAATTCTTCGATTCGAAAAGAAATTATAAATTTATCTAAATTGTGGGTTACTTTTTTTTTTTTTTTTTTTGTAGGTATCACAAATAGGAATGACAGAAGAATTGGTCGTTTGTAATTTAGATTTATTGTTGTTTAAATTTTTTTTAATACAATATTTGTATTTTCTAATCGAATCATTCCTATTTTCTTTTTTTTTTTTATTGCTTTTTTTATTTATCTGATATTTGTTATTTCTTTCATTTTACTCATATGTAAAAATATATTTAAAAAAAAAAAAAAAAAAAGAATTAAATTGATAATATTTTTTTAGTCGCATTGCTTTAGAGTTTAATTTTTTTGTTTGAAATTAAAGAAAAAAAAAATTGAAATTAACAAAATGCTCCAGTAGTAATTTTGATTTGTCACCATTTATAAAATTTATGACAAATGAAATTTGTTCAATTTCAAAAACAATTTATTTCATATTCATTACTAAGCAATTGCTAATCAATAATTTATTTATTTCAATTATAAATTTTAATAAATCACTGATACTATTAACAAATTCTATTATCGCTATTCTATTTTAAATGTTAAAACTAATTCAAAAATAATTTCACTCATTCAAATATAGCAAATATTTGTTTGCAAAAAAAATTTTAACTTAACCTGCTTACTTATAACAATGTTACATGATGAATTTCTGAAATAATTTATGCATATATATATAAGAAATTTTAAATGGATTATGTATATTTGCAAAAATAAGAGAAGAAAAACAACACATCAAATATATATTTTAAACATTTTGATAAATGAAATTAAAAAAAAAAAAACACATTAAATATTTTAAACATTTTGATAAATGAAATTAAAAAATGAATTTTTTTCACATTAAATTTGTAATTATTCAAAAATTTTACATAATAAATTTGAAAAAAAAAGTGCTAGAATTATTATAATATGATAATTCTATCATATTATATAATTTTTAATATTTTTTTTTTAAAAAAAAGAAGGGACTAAAACTATGGAAATTTGTCATTCAATTGGAAAAGTATATATGCGAGAATGTATGGTAAAGTATAAAAAAGTATTATCAAACACAAATCAAAGATTACAAAGTATTATTATTACCTCTAACTATTGCAATTGGCAATGTTTGCTATCAAACTCAATTGCATTTCTCATTTATTACTTTTTTTTTTTTCATATAATTTCAACAATCTTTTATATAATTTTATTTTTTATAATTTTATTTATTATTAATTTTAATTTTACTTTAAATATTTTACTTTGTTATATAATTGCGACTGATATTGTATTGGAATGAGAAATGAATAAATCATTAAATTTTGAAAATTTTTAATGTCTATTTTTTAAAAATATATTATATATGATATTAAATATGTATGATTATAAGAAACAAATTAAATTATTTTTAATTTTGATTTGATTTTGTTTTTTATTAAACTGATTAATTTATGTTAAAATGTGTGTGTGTGTTTTTTTTTTTTTTTTTGTTCAAAAGTTTCTTTAACTAAATTAGTTACATTTTCAATTATTTGCTTAAAATACAAAAATGTAGGATTTTAATTTATCTTTTAAAGTGCTAAATTTTTCCAATTTTAAAACAGCATTGGAATATTATTGATATTCGTTTTTTTTTTTTTTTTCGACAATTTTTTGTTTTATTTTGATAAAAAATAACTCAACAATCTTTGGTTTTTTTTGTTTGCATAAAAATGAAAAAAAACAAAGGAAATTCGTCATGTTTCATTTTAAATCATTTAAAAAATTTTTGTGTCAAAAAGATAGTAAGACTCGATTATTCAATTTAAAGCATTTGAAATGACATAAATGGGACCAACATGTTTCATTTGTGAGCTTCGTAAAATAAAAGAACGCTTACAAGTGTACGCTTATGTCTCATCATATCGTCGGGTTTGCTGTGATTTTTGATGGTTGAGCTTTGACAAAGGCCGATGAATGGTATAAATGCGTGCACACGCAAGCGCACGCACACACATACACACATGCATGCACGCACATACATGCACAGACATATGCACACATATCTGTATCTTAAATTTATTCCTTTTTTGTACATTATTATTTGCAAACTTAATGTTAAATTTTATTATATGAATGGGGCAAGACAATTTTTTTGATATTATTATTACTAAATTAGCTTTTTTATTAATGATGGGAACATAATTAATTCAATTTATTCAATAATTGTTGATTTTAATTGCATGTTATTTTCTTGACAAGTGTTTATTGCTTGTTTTAATTGCAAATTTTTACTAAAATGAATGAACGAAAATGTGGCTAGTATATGAATTATTCTATTTAAAAAATTTTGATAATGTTTAAATAGATGAATTAATTATATTGATTGGATAGATTAATGATGAGTGTAAAGTTCATTCATTTCGTTTTCTCATCTTTTTTCTAGCCCTTCATATTATACTTGACATTGTCAATATATAATCACTCTATTAAAAGCAAATAGTATCTCTCACATTGCTTTTTCTAATTTCATTTATGAACATTGAAAATATATGCAAGAATTAAGGACAAAATTTACTTCTTCATAAAATTAAGTTGAATAGTAAGTTGCGACAGTTTGACTGACGATTTGTACGCAGCATAAATTTGGGAATTATTAATGTTTAAAGAGATGTCCTTGCCGTTTGGTGAAGAAAATGGGAATGTTGATGGATCAGGACAGCGAAATGGTATATTGGTACCTGCTAGGAAGTGTAGTGGTAATGGTAAGTTCATGATAGAAAGTTATCACTGATTTATAAGTAATACAAAAAAAATATATATATATATATATATATGCAAAAATATGTTATCCTTTCAGTGGTGTATTTTAGAAGTTGTTTATTTTAGTGATTGAAAAAGGTCTAGAGAAAATCATTTTTTCTTTTTAGCTGTTGGTTTTTTTTTTTTTTTTTTTTTAAATTATGCACTATTTAAGATGCACATATTTAAATCAAATTTTCATAGAACACTAGCACATCGTATATCAAACATTATTATAGCATTCGATAAAAATTCATCTGCTTACTATTTTATTATTTATTTCAATCTATCCAGTAATTAAACTGTCAATTATTATGGTGTTTGAATGATATTTGTCATTGAATTAAATGAAAACACTATGTTTGGGATGAGTTCATCGATCTTTTTTTTTTTTTTGTTTTTGTGTTTTTTGGAAGGTTATTTTAATATTTTTCAGGAACAATGACACAAAAATTGATGCGAGAAGAAAGTACCGGTAGTGTGGATAGGGAACGAACAAGCGGTACTTCATCCAGTGATCATCATAGTCGGCGACGATTATCCCGTAGTACTCGACTAGTTATTATGCTAACAATGACATTCGCATTTTTTGCTGTTGAACTAGCATTTGGATATTTGTCACATTCAATGGCACTTATCGCAGATTCATTCCACATGCTTAGTGATGTTATGGCACTGGCTATCGCTTTTGCTTGCTTAAGAGTAATCTTTTAATATTATCCACATTTGGAGTGAAATATAACGTTTTTGTAAGATTTCGAATCCATTATTTTTAGCTCCATTTTAGCATATTTGATTATTTTAAAGTAATCTGTTATGTTTAATTTGCTCTATTTTATAGATTGCAACCCGTTCAACCAAGAAAAATACGTTTGGTTGGGTGCGTGCTGAAGTACTTGGTGCTCTGATCAATGGTGTATTTTTACTTGCCTTATGTTTTTCAATATTGATCGAATCACTTACTCGACTTATCGAGCCACAAGCAATCAAGCAACCGATCAGTGTACTTGTTGTTGGTGTTATTGGGTTATTTATCAATCTGATTGGAATGTTTATGTTCCATAGTAAGTTAATTTTGACAGTTATTTTCCTACCAATCATTTGGGGCGAGACTAATTTCATTTATGCTTTGCAAATTCCTTATGTAAAGATTTTTTTCTTGTAAATTACTATATCATATTCTTTAATAAAAAGATATCTTTTGTAGGTCATGCTCACGACCATGGTGAAAGTGGTAAAGATGCTCAGGCGCAACCGCAAGTAGGTCGGCGACAAACTCATGTAACTATTGATGGTAACGAAAGTCAACATTTAATGTCTTCCCATCAGGTCTCACTTTTTTCAAGTAGCATTTTGTATATGCAATTGTTATTATTTTGTTCCATTCCATTATCCTGAAAAAAAATTTTGAATAACAATGTGAGCTTCAAAACTTCATATTTCTAATAATAAATTATTCATAAGAGAGCATAATTTGTATAGCAATTTTTGTATTAGATGAAAAAAAAAAAAAGTTAAATTAGACACAAACTGCGAAATGATTTTCTAAATTGAACCACTTACGGCAGTAATGATTCAAGTACTTGCGTCATTCAAACAGTCAAACCGAAAGAAACTCGCCATGCCTTGTTTCGGTATTTAGTATAATAAAATACTTTCACCCACAACCCATGGTGATTGGTAATGCTGAGACGATAGAAGTGTGAAATGTATTTCGAACTCTCAGTAGTCCCAGTGATCTTCAAACAAAAAAAAAAAAATAATAATAAGCTATTTGTATGACATGTGAGAATGTGATATTTTATGAAAGCAACACAAAGAAATAACTATATATATATATATATATTTTAAGATAATCAATTTAGCATAGCAGAATATTTTAGGAATACTGTGATTTAATATAAAATGAGAAGCAGAAGTGGCTATTTTAGGAGGCAGCAATGGCTATTGCAAATTTTCAAGAAGTTCGTCCAGATGATTCTGATCTTATGGCACAAAACCATATGAAAATCGATAAAAGTAAAGAAAAGAAGAGAAAAAGTAAGTGATATTTCGTGTAATGTTTTGTTTATTATGATAAACAATGCAACATTCTCAAGCATTATTAGTAATATTCCTTAGATTTATGATAGTTATTTTTTATTATTTTTAAACTTATTCATATTTATAGGATTATCGAAGCAATTAAATATGCACGGCGTCTTTCTTCATGTATTGAGCGATGCAATTGGTTCAGTTATTGTTATCGTTACGGCACTTGTTTGTTGGCTTGTTCCTGATCAAGAAGCTCTCAAATTATATTTGGATCCTACTTTGAGGTTTTACGTTTGTTTATTGCTTTTTCTATTTTGACCTGTAATTCATCACATCTAGCATTGTAAATTGCTCTCAAATGCCATTTCACAATGTGGATTTGTTCATAAAATGTTTTGCATATTAGCATCCTGAATTGTTAAAATTTAGGGCGAGGAATTTTTAGACTGTTTGGTAGCTGCTCATGTATTTCAAAAAGTTTTAGCGGAATCTTTATTTATTTATTTATAGTTTGGCTATGGTTGCTTTGATGATTGCATCAACATTTCCACTTGTGCGTGAGACGGCTCTAATTCTGATGCAAACTACTCCTGGTTTCATTGAAGTTGAAGAAATCAAAAAAGAATTGCTCAAAGTTGGTTTTACAAGTAACTAACTGCTATAAGTGTAATTTAATTTGAGACAATCAATGATTCTTTTTGTATACTTGCAATTATTAAATTAAAAAAAAAAAACAAAAAACCATCCACAATTGTTTGACCATTGATGAGTGTACAGTTCTATACCTTGAAATTTAGATTAAAGGAATAGAAGCGGTGCATGAATTCCATGTTTGGCGATTAGTGGGTGAACGAATTATTGCTACAGTCCATATCAAATTCGCCGATCTTAAAGCATATTTGGCAGCTGCTGATGAAATTCGTACATTGTTTCATAATAATTGCATTCACAGTACCACTATACAACCTGAATTCTCAGAGGTATACATCTATCTTTTCTTAAATAAGTAAACATTTTAGAAAAAAACAATCATTCAATATATTTTTTCTCTATTTTACAAAGAATATTGAAAATTTGAATCCTCATATACTATGATGTTTTTGTATCATGTATTCTTATGTGGTTCTCTTCAAATATTTACTTTCTTACATACTTTTCTTATGCTTTGAAGACTAGTTTTTTGACTGAAATGAAGAAAAGATGAAATCTTTGTGGATCTAACTGTACTGTTTATGGATCTGTATATATATATATAGTATACATTACTGTTTAGATGGCAAGCGCTTTGGGAAGAAATGGCACTAATTGCGCATTAGCTTGTCCGCCGGAGAACTGCAGACGAAATAATGTAACGTGCTGCAAAAGAACTCTAGAAGGCAATTATCTTTCTTCGAATCATGAATCAACCGTATGTTTTTAAAATTTTGCAAAATTTAAGCTGTTTACTAAGGCTTAGTTAGTTTAACTGTGCACATTGACATTCCACAGTATTCGTATGGCGTTTCTTATTTTTGATTTTTGTTTTACTTGTGATATTTTTTGATTATTTCGTTTTATTGGATTCAGTTTTTTTTTCACAGATTGTCTTTTTTTTAGAAACGCCATGTGAAAAAGGCTACATTATTTGATTTTAATAATATATGAAGGAGATAGACATCACTCTTTTTACATTGAAATTTTTTGTTAGTACATTTTGATCTCCTTGAGCTCTAATTAGCTTTTCTGTATATATGGGACTTAGTAAAATACAATTCTTTCTGTTCTAACAATTTTTGATAGTTCGGTGGGATGAGAAATAATTTTTGCTTTTGTATGCTTATGTTGTTGAAGCATATAAAACTTTTATAGTTAAAGTATCGAATTGAAAAAAAAAAATGCATCTTTTAAAGAATTATTTCACCGCAATTCTACATTTTAAGTGAATAGTACTGATTTGTGGATTTATTATCAATAAAAGTAAGCGGTAAATGTTAGTGTTATTCTCATACCTTTAGAAATATTTGTTGTTGTTTATTCCTGTGATTATTGAAATTATATATTACGTTTTTATTAAACTTGATACTTATAATGATGAGAATTAAAAATATATGATTGCTTTAGTATTAAATCAAAAAAACTGTTACATTGACCGTATTTCCATTGATTTAATTACTTATTGTTAGTGTTTTTTGGTTTTTCTGTTGTTTATACTGAAATATAACTCACTGTTTTAAACTTTTATTAGAGAAAATCTGAAAGAAAATATATTTTTACAGAGATTTTTTTTTTTGTCACTTTCTGTCAATTAATTTACTGGTTAAAAAGCATGTCATGCAAACTTAGGAACTATGATCGAAAAAATAGGATAAACAAATATTTAATATGGAATATTAAAAGAAAAAAAATAATGATAATTCTTGTACATTACATTTTTTTTTTTTTGAAAAAATTTAAAATTTTTCATGCAATATTGTTTTGGAGACTTTGTTTGACAAATAGTGTTTATTTACTGCACTTAGTCTTGCAGTAGAGATAGTTTTGATAAAGTATCCTTCATTTTTCAAATCTGTATAAGTTTGATATATTTCGCGATTGTTACTTTTGTGAAAATTTGCCAGAGTATTTTTGTTAACATATTTCATGTCTATCGTTTAATCAATGGATCAGTTCCGTTTGCTATTTGCCATTTGAAAATTACACTGAAATTAATGATTCAATTATTTTCACTACTCAGTTTTTTCTCATGCAGACCTTATCAACTAAAATCGAAATTGAATGAAACGAAATCCATAAAAAATTTTTTCGTGAATAATTGTTAACTACTAAACAAATTGTATTTGCATATGGTATAAGTTTTTTTAAAATTTTCAAATTTAAAATTTTGAAATTTTGAAAATTTTATTTTTGATATGATACATCAGCAATTGTTTTTTCTACTATTATCGCTGATAGTTTTTTTTTTTTTTTTTAAATAAGGGAAAAGAAACATTTACGCTATATTCATATACTTTTTGATTCTTTTTTGTTAGTTTTCTTGTCATTTTGTATATAAAATTTGTTTTTTTTCTTTTTTTTTTTCTTTTTTTTTTGCAATCCATCAAATTATTTATCCTTATTAGTTTCAAAAGAGAACAATGAAATAAAAACATTCATAATAAAAAGAAAAAAAAAAGAGTTCCATCATTCTAATTACTGCAAACTGACTTATTAGTTTCTTATTTTTTACTTTTTACGTTCACTTTCTTTTCTTTTGCTTTTTGCAATTTGTGGAAAAATATCTGACTTGAAGTAGTTCAAAATGCAAGCCTGAAAAGGTTAAAGTTAAATTATACTTTACAGTTATACTTTTTTTTTTTTTTTTGAAAAAAAAAAGTTCATTATTACTGGACTAAAAATAGTTATATATTGATTTTTAAATTTAAAATCTAAAATATCACTTTCAACATTATCTATTGTTCATATAATCCTAAATGATTACAATATTAATAAGCATATTAATGTTTCAATATGTTTCAAAATATTTTTAATAATTTCTCTGTGTTAGTATTTTTTCTTTAAGCATAAAGAAATTACTTCACAATTTATTTAACATAAATTTAATGAAAAAAAAGAAGGAAAAAAGTTTATTTTGATGGCTGAAATCGTTCATCAAAAAAGGAGTTAGAAAAAGAAAAGCCAAAAAGCAAATTTATTCACAATCATGAACAATTTAGGAGTACATTTTATAAATAATTTTAATAACTAAGTAGTTGTCAAGTCTTTCATAAAAAAGAAAAAATAAGTGAAAAGTCGTACATTTTCCACTTATTTTCCATTTAAACATTTAGAAAGCATTGAAAATTATTATTGTAAACAAATATATGTAAAAAAAAAAAAAAAAAAAATTGATGGAATTCGATGTAAATTTTGTTCATTTCTATTAGTATAGAAAATAAATTATTTTTGAAATGAAATTATAACTGCTAAGAAAAACTAAATCCTATAGGAAGTTGAAAATGAAAGGAAAGTACATTTCTCATATTTCTTCAAAAATTATTGTTAATTTGAATGAAAATGAAAGCATGAGGTATTTGCTTTTCTAAAAAAAAAAGTTCTACATCGAAGTATCTTTCAAAAAGATAAAAGAAAAAAGCCTGTAACTTTTTTCCGCCAAAATTGTTATTATTTGATGGATAATATATTTTATTTATATTATGCTATATTAGTTTAATAATAAACAAAACAATAAACAAATACTGCAATGCCAAAAATTGATTAAAATTAATGAGCATATAATAACCATTAAATAAAGTTAATGCTTTAATTATAATAAAATAACATATAAATTATTTAACACAGATTTTCTTCTATCATTATATGCTTGCTGGTAATGTTGAATTCTGTTTTAATTTTATAATCTTTTTTTTTTTTTTTTTTTTGAAATTTAATTTGACTGAATTAATTCTGATTGAAAAATGAAAAATAAAAATGAACGAAAGAGTAACAATATTAATATAAGAAACGATATGATACGGTGATCAAATTAATTACCATATTTAATAATTAAAATTATTTTATTAAAATTGTCTTATTCAATGATCGAACAATTTTAATAATAGTTACATGTAAATTGTGAATTATTTATTAATAACTAATAAAAATTCTAAAATTTAAGAACAAAAAAAAAAAAAAAAAAAAAAAAACAAACAAACAAACAAAAAAACTGAATAATGAACTTTCTAAACTGCATTTTTATCTACAGATATCATCCATCTAAAATAAGTACATTTATTCCTTTTTTTTCTAAAATAAATTTTATATGTTTCATAAAAATTAGAGAAGTAAAATAAACTTTTAATTATAATTTAAGCAATTTAACCAAATTTTGTAAATAATTAAAATAAAAAATTTTGAATTCATAAATATCAAAATTCAAAAATTAGAATAACATACAACATTTATTTAAAAAAGTTTAATTAAAATTACACCCGAATAAAACTTTCATAAAATAAATTAGAATTTAAACTATAAAAGAAAAAAACTTTTTAATAATATTAAAAAAAAAAAAAAAAAAGAAGATTAATTACATTCATTCTATTCTAATTAGATTACAAGCAATATGATAAGCTTTTTGAGCGTTTACGTGTTGTAGTAAATTGCTGAAAATAACGTTCACCAAGCATACCTGCTTCTGTCCATTGTCTAAATCTAAAATTAAAATTAAAATTTTTTAAATTAAAATTTCCTTTTTTTTCCTAACACTTTTTAATTATTATTATTTTTTTTTTTTTTTTTGAAATTATATTATTTGTCTTTTTTTAAATATAAAAAAGCTACTTATTTATTCATTTATTTACCTTGTTAAATGTTTAAATAATCGAAATTTGGTTGGCCGAGCCCAAATATTACTAATTAAAATTTTTAAACATAATACATCCATTTGTTCTACATGATAGAGTAAATCTACCGATACCGCATAACCAAGTAATCTTGAAAGATGTTGCAATTGATTTGCCTAAAAATTTTAATTTATTCTTTAATTTAAGCAAATAATTTTTAAAATAATTATTCAAATTCGATTAGCAATAATTCTGTGTTTTGAATTACATATTAATTTCAAATGATTAATAGATAATTATTAATTTTTTCAAAAAAAAAAATTTCTTTTTTTTAAATCAATATAAATTTTTAAAATTAATCTTTTTAATTACTATTAACAATGACTACATCTTGATAATGTCATAACAAATTTTATAAAATTTAAATAATTATTAGAACTAAAAAAGAAAAAAAAAAGGCTATATTATTACCTTTGATATAATGGATAATTTTTTCAGGTTCGGAAAAAAAGGTGTATCCGGGAAATATATCCGATGAAGCGGTGTTAATTTTAATTGTTGATTATGTGTTACACCACGACAACAGTTCACTTTTCGTGAAAGACTAACCATTTCAATTAAAATATTAATTTGTTCTTTATTGATCTAAAATAATTAATAATAATAATTTCATTTTTTTCTAATAACTTTTTTTTTTATAACTTGAAAATTTTTTAATAAAATTCAAAAAATGTAATAAATTAGATTCGAAAATGTTAATGTGAATTAAGTGCAACAAAAATAATAGTTTTATTTTAATAAAATTCAAAAAATTGTAATAAATTTAAAAAGATTAAATTGTAATAGATTCAAAAAAAAAAAAAAAATTAATTTTTATAAAAATATTTGCATAAAATTATATCATATATTAAATATTTTTAAAAAAAAAAAATATTTGAATTTACCTGCGCAACAAGTAATTCAATAATTGGACTATCAATAAATAATTGTTCCACTTTACGTCTTAATGTAAATAGCAAATGTAATAAAGCAGTAACATTATTTGTCTTTAATTCTGAATCAATCACTATACCAAGATGATTTGACTCTAATTCCATAATCATTAATGCTAATGATGGATGCCAATCATATTCGGCTGGAAATATTTACAAAAAAAAATATGTTTATTTATTTGTCTTATTTATTTATATTTACATTTATATTTATATTCATATTTTTCTATCAATAATTTTATTATATTTATACTAATTATATATTTTTATATATTATGCTATTTTAAAATAAAAAAAATAAATTTTTAATAAAATAAATGTAAAAGTATAATAATAAAAATAAATTTTTAATAAAATAAATATAAAAGTATAATAATAAATAATAATAACAAATAAATGTAAAAGTATAATAATAAATAATAATAAAAACAAATTTTTGGTGAAATAAATGTAATTGACAGTATTTAGAAGGAGAAAAAAAAAAAAAAAAAAACAGAATTAAAAAATTATGAAAAAAAAAAAAAACAATTTCCTTCAATAATATTATAATAAATTTGTTAAAATATATTTACATTTATATTCATTTCTTAATACTTACAATAATATTTATATTCATACTTATATTTATATTTACATTTATATTTGTATTTATATTCATATTTATATTTGTATTTATATCCATATTCATATTTATATTTATGTTTATTTTGTATTTATATCCATATTCATATTTATATTTATGTTTATATTTTTTGTATATTCATTTACATTTATATTCATATTCTCATATTCATGTTTATATTTATATTTATACTATTCATTTGTATATACATTTGTACATAATATAATTTTATGCTAATTTAAATAATAATAAATTTTTGAATAAGACAAATGTAAATGTATTTGATAGTATTTAGAAGGAGAAAAAAAAAACAAAACAGAATTGAAAATTTATCAAAGAAATTAATTTTCTTTAATATTAAAAATTGTTAAAAATTGAAAAAAAAAATTTATAATAAATATAAATTTAAAAAAAGAGAAAAAAAAGGAATACATTTTGCTTTTGTATTATGTCGCAATTGTTGTAAACCATTATATACTTTAATATCAATCATTGTATACATATCAAGTCGTTTCTGAGCTGCTCTTTGAAATTTTTTTGAAATTTGTTGCCATTTGATGATATCAAATATGGATGACTTAAAATTTAATATTTAAAAATTTTATTTGTTCGTTTTTTTTTTTTTTTTTTTTTTTTTTTTTTGCTTTCTTTTTTCATTTACATTAAAACAATTAATTTATATTCATAAAATTTTTTCGAAAAAAATTATTTTTTTTCTTTTTTGTTAAATTTATATTAAATAAAATGATAATGAAATGACGATGATTAAATGAGAATTTTAATTTTATATATATAAAAAAATGTATAACTATAGTAATTTTAAGAATTTGATTTTTTTGTTTTATATATTTTATGCTAAATATATTGTAATTACTATTCTTGAAATGATAATATTCCATTAAATTTTTGTCAAATTACAAACAAATCCTATAAAGATTACTTACTGAAATTTATATTTAGTACATTCAGTTAGTATTTAACATTCATGCTATCAGTATAAAAAATTATATTGATTAAATAATTAAAAATAAAATAAACAAACAAATAAATAATAATAGTAATAAATAAATTAAACTTACTCGATTAATGATAAGTTCAATGATTTGATCTGGAAGATTTGACGTACCAGCATGATTTGAGCAACAACGCTGTACACTAGCTATTACATGAAGCGGTAATGTAAGCGCCATTAAATTAACAAATTTCAAATTTAAATAATAAATTTGGTAAAAATTTTTTCCTTCTTCTGTCGTTTTCTATCCTTCGTCTTCTCCAATCGTTTTTTTTTCTTTTTTCTGAAAACTTCTTAAAACTATTATAAATTATATATTGCTATGAAAATTTTTAAAAAAAAAAAGCGAAAGAAGAAGCAACAAATGATCAACAAATTGTCAAAAATGTAAAATAACCTTTTTTTTTGAAAAAAAAAAAAAAAAAAAAGGAAATAATTGATATTTGTTGTTGAAGAAAGTAATTTCATTACACTAAGATACTTTTTAACTTTATTTCATTAATTATATTTTATTGAAAAATGATCACAAAAACAGAAAGTTTGGTCCCTTTTTTTTTTTATTCTTTTGACAACAATAACAATTGTATCTGAATTTTCCAACACATTAATTTTTTTTCGGAAGAAAAAGAAAAAAATAAAATGATCTTTTGACTTGTTTAAATTTTCAATTTTTATTAATTATTGGTAAGAAGTGATTTCTTTTCTTCTATTTACTTATTTCCTTGCTTCTTGTAATTTTTTGTAAAAGAAAGAAAAATGAATGAATAAAATTTTAACATTCGAAATTTGCTCTTTTTTGATTGAAACGAAAAAATCAAATCGTTGATTCATTAATTTTTTTTTTAAATACAATCTCATTGTTTACTTTCTTGTATCTAATTTTTGTTATCTTAGAATGATTAAATGTCGTATAATGCAAATGATAAGATAATTAAAATAAGTATATCTGAAATAATTTATTAATTTGCTAAGTGCTTCTTACAATTTTATTATTCAATTTATTGTTTTCATTCTTGTAATTGACAGTATGTTAATAATTTAATTAAAACAGTTCAAGTCCTAAAGGAAATGTTAAAATTTGATAAATGATCATATCAATCCTTGTTTCTTTTTTTTTTTTGATACATTGAATATAAAAATTTAGGCTTTTTTCTTTTTTTTTTTCTAAACTCTCAGCGAAAAAAAAAAGAGACAACTGATAATCATTCATCAATGATAAGAAAATTTGAAAGCAGTGACAGAAGAGCGAAGAATGATGTTAAGCATTTCTAAAAAAAATGCTTACGTAATATTAATTTATCAGTTACACAATAAACTATTATTCCCATATTTACATTATTATCTTGTTTATAATGTTTTTGAACTTTTAATTTTAATCAAATAACAAGTTTCATCTAAAAATTTTAATGTCCAATTAAAATAATTGCAGAAAAAAATCATAAAACTAGACTTCAATTAAAACTAACACGGTGTATGATAAACAAAAAAAGGGGAAAGAGAGAGAATGGTGTAAAAAGTTATTAGGTGACAAGAGGTACAGGTAGGTTAATCTTCGGTATTTCTCTTTCAAAAACAATAAAAGAAAAATAATCTTCTGTGAATAATAATATTATTATTATTACTAATTGATTAATGATGAAAATATTAATTTTTCTTTAATATTATTAATATTATTATTAATAATAATAATAATAATAATAATAATAATAATAATAATAATAACAGTAATAATAATAATAATAATAATAATAATAATAATAATAATAATAATAATAATAACAATAATAATAATAATAATAATAATAATAATAATAATAATAATAATAATAATAATAATAATAATAATAATAATAATAATAATAATAATAATAATAATAATAATAATAATAATAATAATAATAATAATAATAATAATAATAAAGATGCACTATTTTAGTTAGTATAGTTTAAATTTAGTTTGAAAGAAGATCACTACAACAATATTAATTAAAATAAAGAAACAATAAAGGTAAGAAAACAGAGAAAGGAGAAAAGTTTAACTTTTAAGAGTTTAATTTAGCGAAAACTAAAAAATAAAAAGGAAAAAAAGGAAATTATTTATAGGTCAATTTATTAAATGACAGCTAAAGCGCATTATGCTTCATCCAACCATTTTGTGTGTGTGTGTGTGTATGTGTGTATGTGTACGGCATGATATGCTTCACAAATGCATAATCATTAGGAGAGATTAAAGGACGGAGAGAGAGAGAGAGAGATGAAGAGTACATTCAATTAGGAATAAAATTTTTTAATTAAAATTTTTGATTTAAATGAGCAAAAAGAAAAAAGAAAAACAAAAAAATCTACAAAATAATATTAAATTCTAAATTTACAAAATATTTTAAAATTGAAATATGCATTACAATATCCAAAATATAATTCAATAAACACTGAATTAGTTTGCGGTAATGGTCGGTCAAACAATCTCGACAACAACCTGCGCCATTAGATAAATACTAATACACTGCTTATAAAATTTTTCAGTTTGCAGATTGAAAAATATACACACATACACATACACATGCATACATGCATAGAGAGACAACATACATACACACGCATACAGACACTTTAAACGAGTATTAAATTACTTAAATTTTGAAAAAAAAAAAAAGAAGAAATCCCTAACCGATATTCTATCGGAAAAGCATATAAAATAGACAAAATAATAGAAGAATATGTATGTCTGTGTGTATGAATGTATGTGTGTGTGTGTGTGTGTGTCTATTTGTCTGTTTTCCCTATCTGTATGTGTATGTGTGTATGTGTATGTATGTATGTATGTGCTATGAAGATAGATGAATTTGAATAGAAATTAGAAAGATTAGCAGAAAGAGAAAATGAAAGTGATGAATGACCGGAATGTTGTTGACCTTTACGGAAATGACGAGTGAGTGAGTGACCACCGATTGTAGTTGGTCATTTCGGTTAAAATAAATTTTAAATTCTATCATTAATTTACTAAATAAACTTTTTTTTTGCAAATATTAAATAAAAAAGCACTTTGATTAATTAATTAATTGTAAGATTAGTAGAATAGAAGAAAGAATAATGTTATAAAAAGTAAAATTGTTAAATGGAATGGAATTAAGAAGCATTTTCAAATATTATATTTTGATAAAATTAATTTAGGATGAATTTATTTATTTTTCATTTCTTTTAATTATTTTTCATTTCTTTTTCTTCCCATTAAAAATTTAGCTAATTTATATGATTATTATATGATGTAAATATTTTGAATACATTATAAAATTATTTACATTATCTATAAATAAATACTTTAATGTACTACTTACACTAATATATTAAATTTATTAAATATATATTCTTATGTTAATTTTGTCCTATGCCATTACATTTTAAGATACCATCAGCTTATAGTTATGTTATTATTATTATTATTATTATTAAGCACCATCATTATCGCTGTGATTATTAATATAAATATTAATTATTATCAATATTAAGAACTGGCATACTTTCAAAAAATGTAATTAATAGCTGATAGCATTTTTGCAAATAGATTAAAAAATTATCAATACATTATGAATAATTAATTGGCCATATATTCTCGCAGTAAACACATTTTTAATCATTTTATCATATTCGATTATCATTTAATTATATCTCTTATTAGACTTTTGCAAATGATTTAATGATTTAATAAAAATAATTTTTTCATTTTTCCATTTTTATTTGAACAAAACAAAATAATCTAACAGCATTTCAAATGATAAAACAATGATAAATGCATGCATATTATCAGAAAATAAATAATAATATTGAAATATTCCTCAAATAATCATTATTATTATTCATTATTCTTACGTTTTTTTTTTTTCCAATTTACTTATATCAAATATAAATTCAAAACGAAATGAATGAATTTTAGCAATAAACAAAACAATCTTAACAATAAACAAAAGAATCCTAACAACAAATAATTTGTGGACTAATTTTTTTTTTTCGTTTTGCCTTAAAATTAATCATATTTTACTTCAAAATACTAATATTTCAAAATAACAAAACAACGACAAACTCTATATTATTATCAAAAAATTAATAAACAATGTTAACAGGAAGTATTACTCAACTGATTGATTAAAAGTTGTTTATCAATTAATTTACTAGAAGTTGATGGTCTATTAGAATATTCCTTACTATGAAATTTTAATGTTTATTTGTTTTTTTGACATGATGAATCATAAGTATGTTATTATCACAAATAACAAATGAAATTACATTTGCCCTTTTACCTTTTCTCTCTCTCTCTCTCTCTCTCTCTCCCTTTCTTTTTATTTTGCTTAACTTTCGTTGAGCTATTACAACATTTTATTACAAATGAGAAAGAGAGAGAGAGAGAGAGAGAAAAAAAAAAGAGGTGAAAATATGAACAAAGTTTAAATTTGCAAAATATTTCAAACATTTTTTTTTTTTTTTTTATCAACTAATTCTTTACTTAATTAAATTATACAAGCAAAATACAAAAGAAAAACTTGTAACACTTTTTTTTTTTTAATTTTAACTTCAAATAATTGTTATTTATAAGATATTTTTACCTTTAAATAAATGTGTGCAATATTTTTTTTATAATTGAAATTTATAAACATGCAAAAAAAAAAAAAAAAAATAAATATTTTATAATTTGTATTAATGAATTTGACTATTTTCATTTTAATTATTCGCTAACATTATTTTATATTTTAATTTAATTAATGCTAACATTATTAATTCTATATTATCTTTTTTTTTTCTTTTTTTTCAAACCTTTCTACTTAAAATATGTTAAAGTTATATAATATTGAAGCGGAAATATAAAAATTGCCACCTGTTTTCTTCAAATTTCTTCTTTTTGAAACGTGTAAACAGATCAGCTGTTGTTTTTCTTCAAAATGATTTAACTGATAAATTTATCACTGACAATTTGCCTAGAAAATGCACTATCGCTTTTTAAATCATATGCTTCAAGAGAATTTTTAATTTTAATTGATTAATGATGATCAATTTTAAAAATTTCTTGGAAAGAAACTAATTAGATCAAATTTATAAACAAATTTAGTCAATAGACAACAAACTAATGTTTTTTGTTTTGCTATGAAATTAATATATAAATTAATGTGCTAACAATATTTATTGAATAAAACTTAAACATTTTGAATTTTACATCAATTGTTATTTTACTTTTTCTTAATTTTAATAATCAAATTGGTCGCTTTCTTAATTTTTCATATTATTATTTACTTTCTTAAGAAATTTAAAACTGATTTTAATAATCATAATTGATTTTAGAGATGCTTTGTCTTCTTTTTTCTCGATAATAATTAAAAATTTTAAATTTTATATAAATTATTCTTTTACTTTTTCTTAATTTTAATAATCAAATTGAATTTAATCAAATTTTGCTTTCCCTTTATTTTTTCTAAAAATAATAATGCAGTAAAAGTTTTTTTTTTTTTTTTAAAAAAAAAAAAGGAAAATTGAAATAAGAGAAGAAATAAATGACAGGAATGTTATAATGAAGAAGAAAAGTATAAAGAGCAAAAATTACAGTCAATGTTAAAATTTACAAAAAATTTTGATCATTATTTAATTAATTAATTAATTAATTCGTTAATAATTATCTATCCAAATTAAATATGAAGATGTTTATTTAATTAGTTTCTTATTTACTTTAGCAATTTTAATATTCAATTTAGATAGAGATATCTCTTGTCTTTTATTATTAAAAGTAATAATACAATAAAACTTTTTTTTTTTTAAATTGATATAAGAGAAGAAGGAATAAAGACCAAACATATTAAATTATTTAATAATTGGGAATATGTTTTTTTTTTCAGTATTTCAGTATTTCTGCAAATATATATACTTCACTATTCCTACAAATAACTTATGATTTATTTGTGATTTATTAGCATTACATAATTTTCACTTACGTATTTTTAAATATATTATATTCACATACGTGTTAAGCTGCAAAAATTTTCAGTCACGTAAGTGGTCATACTTACGTGTATGATATTAGTATCTATTAGAAAAAGGAGAAAAAATGATTTATATTGAAATTTTCTTTTTCTATCTAATAAATAATAAACAATAAAAGATTAAAATTTCTTCTCAAAGAAATAAATACAAAATTTTGTCACAAAAAAAAAAAAAAAAAAAACAAACAAAATATAAGAAATGAGTTTGTCACAAGAAAGAAATGTCCTAATTAAATTTGAAAGTTTTTTTTTTCTCCACTTTCGCTATTTCTTATTGACTTTTGATCAATTAAAAAGATAAAATAAAGATTTTGCAATATTTTTGATCCTTTTTTTTTCATTTTCTTTTGAGTAAATAAAAAAAAAATATTACACGAAAGTATAATAATTGTAAAAATTGAAAGAGAAAGAGAGAGAGAGAGAGAGAGAGAGAGAGATTTTGTTTTATTTTTATTTTATTTTATGCAATGCTTAAACTTTAAATAAGTAGGCTAAGATTAAAAATTCAAAAATAACTTTAAATAAGTAAGCTAAGATTGAAAATTGAAAAATAAGTTAGATTAGAATGATTTAGATGATGATTAAAAATTAAATAATATAAAAATGAATCGATAAAATTATTAATTATTGATCTATTTGATGATAATATTGTGATGATAACAATTCATGCAGTGATATATATATATATATATATATATATATATATATATATATATATTGATAATATGATAATATCAACAACAATAATAATGATAATAATAATAATAATAATTCTGCTCAATCATAAAAAAAAAGAAATCAGTATTTTTTTTTTTTCTTTTAAAAACCAGAATCACTTATAATAATTTGTTTTTTCTTATAAATTTGAAAAAAAAAAAAAAGGTAAGAAAATTTGCAAAAAATCAAATTTTTTGACTCAGAAAAATAAAAGCAAAAACCGAAAAGAAAACAAAAAAAGAAACGAAAGAAATTTTGAATCGAAATTTTGAAAAGTTATGTATATTACAGTTCTGATTATTATAATTAATTATTTAATTAATTGAAGATTATTTGTCATTAAATTATAGCATCAAATTTTTTTGTTATAAATTATATATAATTGAATAAATTATTATTTATATTAATATTGTTGGATACATAAACAGTTTACTCGTTTCTTTCACCAAAAATTTTTCCATTAAAAAAAAAAAAAAAGAAAGAAAAATTTGTAAATAACACAAAATAATATTTGCTAAAATTTCTTCTCATTCACATTTGATCTTTGATCTGAAGAAAAAAAATTGATCGTTTTTCTTTTCCATTCAAAAAAATTGTACGATTTCAATGCTTATTGATGGTAAAAATGAAGAAAAAAGAAATTTTTTTTCTCCTTTTTTTTGCTTTTGCTTTTTTCAATAAAAAAAAAGAAATTAAATTTTAAATTAATTATTTTATTGGTATTATCAAATCTGCTTAGCAGTTATAAAAGCAAAATTTAATTTCATTTATCTTATCAAATCAATTTTGTCTTATCAGTTTTTTTTTTTCTTGCCATAACAAATTATTTATCAAAAATGCATTTCATTCACCTAATTTATATGCAATAGTTCATTAAAATGTACAACTATCATTCAATAATAGTATTAAAAGGATTTTAATTTATTCAAATTCATTTGAAATTATATTCAAATAGATAATACTAACTCTTGTATATAAGTTAATCAATTTGTACTTTGGAAAATATCATATCATTTTAATATTACAATGTTTGGATTAATAAAATGTCCCATTTATTCAAATAAAATTCTAGATAAAACACAAGAAAAAAAAAGTAATTAAAATAAAATTTCAATTAATAAATTGATATTTTATTTTCATTAAGGAGAAAAAAGGTTTTAAAAAGTTTTTTTTTTTTTTTTTTCAAAATGATAAATTAAATTATTAGCATTATTCTGATTTATGTGCATAATATTTGAAGTTAAATTATTTTTCCATTTTAATAGATTTATTTACATATAATAAAAACTATTCAATTTCGATTCTTTTATTTTTCTTTTCTTTCATCTATTTTCATTCAATTTTTTTTTCCTCGTCAGAATTGTTTAATATTTTACTTTTTTTTTTCATAATTAATTGAATGCATTGACAAAAAAAAAAAACATTTACATAATTATAGAAATTTGTTACATCTATCACAGTTTTGTGGTTTTATCAACATAATTTTTCAATTTTTTTTTTTCAAAAAAAAAAAATTGAAAAAGTTAAATGCGATTGATAACTAATCATTCAAACAATAATAAAGTGCAATACAAGTAGAATTACTTTTTTATCACTTTACGGTGTAATAGGAAATAAAATAATGGTATTATCCATTTAAAAAAAAAAAAAAAAAAACGAAGAGTTGAGAATTTTCGAAAGCACAACATTTGTCTTCTACCGTTTTCTTTTTTTTTTTTTCAAAAGTTATATTAAAAAAAAGAATTTTTAGAGATGAATGATTTGAAAGGAATATTTTAATGAATGAAATCATAAATTTCATAAAGATTAATTTATTGATATAATCCATTTGATTTTCTGCCGATGAACACTATGATAGCTTCGATCAAAATAATCATTTAAATCCAAGTTTATTGATAAGGATGAAATTGTACCACAAAATAAGATTTTTTTGAATGGCTTTCAACAAATTTATTTCTTCATCAAATACAATTAATTTGTATTTTTTCGCATTTGAATGCTATGAAAAACTAACAAATATTTTAATATTAAATAAATAAAAAAAAAAAAAAAATTAATTAAAAATTTAAGGCTAACAGCACACTCTTATACATAATTATGTAGAATGAAAATTTTCAAAATTTCAAAACAGATCATCATTTAGATTTTAATTCATACATAGAACAAACAACAACAAAATTAATACAACAAAAAATAGCAAAAAGTAAACTCATTGAGCAAAAATTAACAATTAAATTTGTCAATAAGAATTTAAAAAAAAGAAGGAATAATAAAAGCAAACACTAAAATTTCGATGTAAACAGAAGGATTTCTTGAATACTCTTTTCTTTTTTTTTTTTCATTTTGACTGCAATTATTTGAAATTAATAATAGTTCATAAAAACTTTTTAACAACAAATCTCTCTATTTTAAACACTTAATCCCTTACTTATTTAGATTTATCAATAAAAGTTAGAAAAGGAGTCAAAAAAGTGGTGCAAAAATAAACATAAACAAATATAAACATTAAAAATAAGTGAGTAAAAGTTCTTTTTTAAAAATTATCTCACACATAGCATTTTTTTTTTGTGATAATTTTTTGACTATAAATAAATAGATAAATCAAGTCATTTCAAATTGAGTTAAATCTTTTTACATATTTTTCTATTTTCTTATATTTACCATCTTTCAACATTACAAAGCAAAAAAAAAAAAAACAAGTGGCAATTGCGGTTCTTTTTTTTAATGCATTATTCATGACAAGTAACAACATACATATGTGTAACATAAAACAGGAATTTTGACCACCTATTGGCAAATTTAAAACGAAAACAAAATTTCATTTTTATATTAAAAGTAAAATTTGCATCAGATGAAAATGCAAAAGATTACAAAAGTAACAAAAAAATTAAAAAAGAAAGAATTATATTACAATGTTAGACTACCCTTCTGCATATGTACCTCAAGCACTTTCCATGCTACTCTTGGATTATACTCTTCCATATCACGACACATTACCCATACATGATGAACACGTACCGGACTGTTCTGAAATTTCCATTTCAAAATTGTTTAAAATTTCAAATACATATCGAACCAAATAGCTAAAATGAAATAAATGACCACCTAGCTAACATTATTATGAAAGATATAAAGATGAAAGAATTCCAAATAATATAATGAAATTAATAAATTGAAAATTTCACTGAAATTTATACATATATTGAAATTGAAAATTTATTAAAATAAAGTGAAACTTTATAACATATTGGAATTAATTTCGTATTAAAACTCGTAAATTTAGAAATTTATAAACCAAGGATTGTTTTGTTTTAATATCCCCTTAAACCTTAAATAAATATGAAATCGTTTCAATTTTATGTCATAAATTATTTATTTTTCATCCATTTACCAATTATAGATAAACTGATCTACATAAACTGCTACGAATGTTACAATTTGTTAACAAATATGTTTCCATTTCTTCCAGTTTACTTCCAGTTTTACCAGTTTGATTTTCCATTCTGTCAGCTGAACTAGATTTGATTATAAAAGGTTGTACGATTCCTGTTCAATTAACTTCTTTTGTTATAAACTAAATCAATTTGAAATACTGCAGAGGTCTTCTAACTTGACAGTTACTCATATGAACAGATGATATAATATTAAAAACCAACTTCTACTGGTTAAAGGGTAAAGGTTAAATGTCATCTGAATGTTATAGCTTTTAATTCACTGTAATCATATGCTTTGTTGTTAGCCAATGCACATTATAGAAGGAGTTAAAATCATTTCCTGAGGTAAGTTTTTAGTAAAAGCAAGCTTCAATTAGAAACATTTAATTATTTCCTCTACACTTCATCAATCTTTACTCAACGACAACCTACAACTAATTTAATTTAATATTATCTAATAATCCTTATGACATTAATCAATAAAATTTATTCCGACTAATCATTTACATCAACTGATTAACAACAAGAATTTCATTCACTAATCAAACAAAAAATTTTTTTCCAACAGTTTGCTAAATAACAGATTTTGCTAAATAACAGAAATAATCTGATGCATTACAATTTCTATTCATATAATTAACAACTTTACAGTGATATAAATCACTCAATTAATTTATGTTATATAATAGAATTATTTATAAAATAATTTAGACACACAAAGCTTAAGCTTCTTGTAATATTCTATTAAATAAAGCTTGATTTTTCAAGAATTAAATATCTATTAATTACCTATTAGTTCCATTTAATGCTCAAAATTATAATAAGAAACCTACCGGATCACCTTCGACAACTTTTCCCTCCATATTTCTCACAATATTTACCATATAAGCTTGAAATGTAATTATTATTACTGGCCCGTGTTCCATCATTTTACCAGTAACCATCTAAAATATTTTTTATAATTTATTCAAGCATTAAAAATTACAAATTTTGACTAGAAGTATCTTTACAAAGATTCCATGCAAATACAGAATCAATTTCACATTATGCTTATCAACATTATTGTAAATCATTTAAATAAATTACAAGTAAATTCTAGAAATCTTTTCAAATTTGCGGATTTTATGGCAAAAATGTTTTCAGAAACTTGCTATTCAGACCTGTGATTTAAGAATGCACAACTATATTCAATATTCAATCATATAACAGTCTAGAATACATTTATTAAATGAATAAAAGGATGAAGAGTAATTCATAAAAAAAGTAATGATGAACCTCAACCCTATTGATATCGATGATACGACTGTCCGTTGTATTAAAATTGATCTTTTTATATTCATTAACAGTTGCTGATAAAATATTATAAGCCTGGAAATTAAACTTTATAAAAGTCTCAATCATTTTACAAGACTGAAAAAGTTGTGAAATCCCAAAAAAAAAAAAAAAAAAAATAAATAAATAATAATCAAGAAGAAAGGTGATAATATAGAGAACAACGAACTCTTTCGTAGCACCAATCTTTGAGAATTTTCAAATCACCACGAATAAATGCTTCCAGAACGTTCGGAATTATTTCCTTTTCGCAAAAACGTAACCATTCATTCTTTTCAAAATTTGGATCAACTTTCTGGATTTCAGAAAGCACTTCTGATATTTCACTATGACCACCTGAAGTTAAAACTTCTTTGAAATATTTTGGAATATTATAAAAATGCAATTGTTTTTCTCTATTTTTCAGAGTTAAGGAATCAATTTTAAAAATATTGGAATATCGCATATACAAGACCATTTCATATAATAAAATGTGACCTAAAAATTATAAATCATAGAAAAATTATAGAACATCAATATGACTAATAAAAATATGCACTCCACTAATATTAGATGGTAATTAAATTCAATGAAATAAATTTTTAAGAGAACGTGCCAAGTAGTGAGGAAACTTTATCAGTGAAACCCCGTACCAATCTCAATGCCAAATTATCGCTTTCATCTAGACGCATTTTCCAATCCAAAATTTCTGAAATAAAATATGTTTATAAAACAGTCAAATTCTTGGCACTGATTTTATTGGGTAAAATAAATAACAACAATACTGCTCAATTCTGAAAAAAGTTGTAAAAATATTACTAAACTTTCTCACATAAAGAATTAAAAAGATATCGCAGGAATCTAAAATTTATTAAAAGCTAAAATCAAACACAGAAATCTAAAACTTATTAAAAGCTAAAATCAAACACACTGTTATAATAAGCGTTATTTTCGGAGAAAGTTTTCCATCCAGCATACCACTTAGATTCTTTGTGAAGCTCCATACCAGTTGCATTTCTATAGAAATTTAGTTATACGTTGGTGAAAAAAAAAAAAGAAAACATAAAACTTTTACTCCATTCAACATGAAATCTCAAAATATACAAAATCCTAAGAAACTGTAAATATATAAATATATTTTCTTCATGTAAATTTTATATCTCGTTATTGCAAAAAAAAAAAAGAAAAAAAAAACCTTATTTATATGAAATGTTAAAGAAAAGTGCTCCTAAGATTATTCTAAAGATAAATCACAACGTGCTTATTATTTATGGCATAACAAAAAAACAATCATTGATATCGATCAACTTACGGATTAGCTTCTATAACGCGATCTGTGTACGTGGAGGAGGATGCTGAACGCATTTTTAACTGATCTGAAACATTTTTTAAAAGTTGGAATCGCGCCATTTTATGAATCCTCATAAATACAAGATAAAATTTCGTAAAGTTTGCAAAACACAAAGCATAAACAATATTAAAAAAAAAAAGAGATGTAACCTGGTCGAGTATACATGTGTACATCGACAATATTATCAACCTCATCCTTGATCACTTTCACTGACTGCAAAGTTTCAAAATTGAATTAATTTGATGAATAAATATAATAATGACTGCCAATATCTGAGGCAGAAAAATGAACCTTTCCTTCAGGGTGAAATATCATACCCTTAATTCTAGCATTCAAACCAAAGTGCTAAAAAAATCTTTTAGAAATTCAGACTGATTAATCTTCATCGATGAAGAACTCAGGATATTTTCCACATTTTTAGTAAATATATATGCTTCATCATAAGATACAAGTAATGTGTGATAAATTTTTCATGCACTAACCGAGCTAACACTCTGATACAATTGATTGTCCCCAACTTGCTCTGCCGCTTTCTCGATCATTTCTGCAGCAACCTTTGCTTGTTTCAACACTTCTTCTGCAGCTAAGGAAAGCTTCTTTCCCGCTTCAGTTTTCTGTACTTCTACTATCATCTGTATAAAATAGTAATCAAATTTTTTAAGGTACGTTTTTCTCGACAAACAATTTTATTTTGTCCAAATTTGATAATAATACCAAACATCTTTGTTTTATGTTATGTTTATTTATTTCATATGAATCGAAAAATATTACTAAAGCTGTACTTAATAAACGATAGAAAAACTAAGGAAGAAAAAAAAAATGAACTAAGCAGCTTACCTGTGATATATGGTTGCGAACATCATTGATCTTGTTTTGAATAACTTGTGAGCTTTTCAGAGTTTCTTTTTCGATTAATTCCTAAAATATTCAACGAGTTTTGCCGATAATCTACTGGTCTGAAATGGAAAACAAAAAAAGACCATAAATAGGCCGTTATAAAACAATAACTGCTAAAAAGTATTACAGGAAAAAAGGAACTCACAAATTTCCTTCTGGCTTCCTTTAGAGCTTCGCTGTCATTTAAACTTCTCAATCTTTCATCCAATTGTCGCCTATTTTCCTGGAAAAAACATTCAGGTTAAGTAGCACAAATCAAGAAATTGCAGACCGAATCTAATGCTCAACAAGCAATTCCACACAAAAAAACAGGTTAACATATTTTACTTTTTTTTTTTTATGATGTGAAAAAAGACCGTTAATTTTATTACATAAATCAAAGAGTGGACATTAGCAATTAAATATTATTGGAAACTTATTAGAATTGATATCAATTTATCAATTTTTGATAACTGACCTGCTTTTTCACCTTAAATTTATGTACAAAAATAGATGAAAGGTGGAAAAAGAAAAACAAAACTCACCTGCAATTCCTTATTTTTTTCAAATTCTTCTCGTATATTATCCAATAAATTTTTCAAGAAATTTCTTGGTTTTGACTGATGCTGCCCTTGTTGTGAGAAATATCTTACTGACTTAAATGATCGTTTAAAAAAAAAGAAGAAACAATAAAGTATGAAAAACATATTCATTCATTTAAAATCAAAATCAAACCGCCTCCCACTCCATATCCAAATTACCTATTTTTTTATAATAAAATAAAACGAAAAGAATAGAAATGTAATAGAATATCAGCAAAACTGTTAATTTCAACAAATTTTTGATTAGATTTTCGTATAATAAAAACTGCATACTTAATAAATATATAAACTGTCTTTAAAACTAATTTAAAAACCTTATATTTAAAGTATCCCGTCTAGAAACTATTTCAAAAAATCAGTGAAAAAAAAAAATTACTCCCTTATAACCACTTAAACCTATTACAATAAAAAAAAAATGCTTGGAAATCATTTTAAAATGAATCAAATCCCTATCAAAGTTAAAGTGTGAATTATCATGCATTAAAAAACAAACCTCTAATGATGCATAACTAGTTGATAATGCTATTGTCCGAATAACCGAAATATCAGATGTAAGCATAAGCATATTCCTCTGCTGTTGTAAATTCCACAATATTCGACATGGCCGTATTATTTGCTTCATAACTTTCCTAAAAAAAAACAAGGACGAAAAAGAGAAAGAAGAAAAAACTACCTTAAAATTATCGATCAACGTTACTTATCAACTCTTTCATTTTATCTTTGAGATTATTAAGTAGCATGACAAATAATGATAAATTATTTCGTTAAAACTTAATATTGAACAAAAAGTATTCTTTCTTTCCAAAATTTATTAAATTGAAGTGTACTTATAAAAATTTAATCTATTAAATTCACCAAACACTTTCAATTTTAAAATGAACAATATTTATCATTTTTAAAAAATTTGTAATTTCTTCCAAAAAATTTAAGAAATATAAAAATGAAAGAAAAATTCCTAATTGAAAATTTTTGATAAAAAATTGTCTCTTTCATTGTCTTTCATTCAGAACTTCATTACCACACAAACATAACTAAAACAATTGCAAAAAGTAGGAAAAAAAAGAGAAGCAATCATTTAATACTAAATTTAAGCTATTCACCAATCTTTTACTCTTTCATTCTCTAGCTGTCTCTTACCATATAACACTTTTTCGTCAAGAAACTTGATCATTTCTCTAGCACTCTCCTACCAAACCACTGACTTTTTCTTCAAAAAATTTATCTCACTGGTTGAATACAAGCACTCTATCACTCCACTTTGCATCTATGTCGGTGGTCAGAGAATGAGTTCAATGCGAAAAATGCGACATCGGCTGAGGTACAGCAACAAATATTTTCGCTAATTGTATCTCAACCCTGTAGTGGGATTGCATTTCCTTCTCTTCGTGTCCGTTGCTTTTTCGTTTCCACGTTTGGGTCACGTGTTTTGCGTGAGGTTAATATCTGTAATATTCATAAAGAAATTCATTTTCGTTGCACACGATTTCCTTGTTGTATGTACTCCAAATACAAAATGAATAATTTCCATGTACGGTTTAGAAAGTTAATAATTTCCCGAGGAAGCCGAGAAAATATTTTAAAAAAAAGATGGAATTTTAAGTGATTTGTTCTTGTCAACGAAGTAAATTATGGATACCTAATTACTGGCAATTTTTTTCTGTTTCTTTTTTTTTTTTTTTTACGCAGCAAATAATTTTAGCTGCGCTAATATACGAGTTGGAATTTTTTTTTTCTTTTTTGAACATAAATATTTTGTTGCGTATAATTCTTAACACATTTTGAACGTTTTTTGAACGCCATTTAATGATTATTACGCATACATCGCAATGAAATAATTAATATTAATCTTGTGCAAAGGGATACATAAATAAAAGTTTTTATATAACAAAAAGAAAAGACGAACTAGCTTAACATTAAAATGGCACTGTAAATCATGTTCACAAATACTTGTAAAAACAAACTGTAAAAAAAAAAAAATCAAAGCAGATCATACAGCAATTTACACTAACAAATCGAAAGAAACCAGTAGTGAAGTGAAAGTAATACAAACAAAAGACAGGAAATACCAGTTGGAAATATGTGGAAATTTTCTTCCTTTTTTAACAGATACAAAAATTACATTTGAACTGTAAACTTTAGACTCTTAGACGTTTCAAAGCTGGCCATGAGTTCAGCTTCATAATAAATCAACAAAAAGATTAAAAAAAGAAATTGTAACATTCATAAATGTAGGATAGACGCTAACTGTGCACCGAATCTTTTCTGAAACAATTATCTCTTATTTCATGAAACTAGCACAAAAGTGAGTTCTCTCCTTCTTCACTTCTTAAATTGTAAGAAAGGCAAAGACAGAGGTTTAGCATGCGTGAACAGTTAGAACAAACAACTGTGCATGATAATTAATTGGAAAATAGTGCAGTGAAGAAGTTTCTTCGAGTAAGTTTCAAAATCAGAATTAATAAATTGCATTCCGATGGAAAGCACGGTATTAAGTAAGGTTTTTTCTCTTTGGTGAACCGTTTCGTATTTTCCTATTTAATGGAAGATTTGCTTCATTAATTTGGATTCTCAAGCCAAAAAAGCAAATATATCAACATTTTACAAATTAACTGAAATAACTCCTTTAATCGAACGACACTAAGTGTCAAAAAGAAAACAAGCAATTCTTTATCGTTTTTTTTTTTTTTTTTTTTTTTGGCAGGAAACATCTCTTTACTGAGATCCTTAATAAATAAACAATCACCCTAAAACAAGTTCATATGATTGCCGCTCTAAACCATCAGTTGCACCATAATTCCTCACTATCACAGTCGGTTCAGACTCAACAATACCTCTTCGGTCAATTAAACTGAAAAAACCACTCTCTGTTGGAGTATTTTTATAAATCAGGTATAATCTATACAAGATCACTGTAATAAAAAAGAAAAGTACAGATGGACGGTTCAAGTAATTTATGTGATTCATGTCAGTCAGATTCCTTCAACTCTTGACAAAATCAACTTTTTTTTTTTTTGTTTTTCTTTTAATTAAAAATTTCTCAAGGTACAACAATCGGCTTTCAACATCTTATATATCTTTAGTTTAGTTGGAATGTATGCAAATAGCATATAATATGAAGATATTGAATTTTTCAATTAGCCTAACTTCCAAAAAAGAAAAAAAAAAAAGTTCAATTGTTACAATATAAAATTAAATCGAAACAATTGCATACCTTGGAGGTTCCGGAGCACACAATGTTCGAAGACAATTGGAAAATACAGAACCAGTATTATATGGATTTTGTATATGTGGGAATCGTTTCGAATTAAATGTTCCCTTGATATCTTCATTTGTTGTCTGATTTGTTAACAGTAAATATGTGTGAAAACCGGAAAGACCAAATATTGACCAGATAGAGAAAAAACATACTAAAGCAATTATAAGCGATATAGGGCTTTGTCTTACTGCACCGAGAAACGCATTTTCTCTTTGTGACACTGCAACAAATAAAACATGCATCTTTGCAAACAGTTAGCTGTGAAAAAGAAAAAAAAAAAAAGTAACAGAACTTCTATTTACTTTTTTCCAGGCAGAATTTGAGGAAATTTCTAATAAATCAGCTTTGATTTTTTTTTTTTAGATTTTTTCTGCTACTCTATATAAAAATCTGTCCCACAACAAAAACCAATCTGAATATCAATGAATGTTAAAATAGTATAATATTCCGAAATATTTTAATCTAAAAAAAAAAGTCATATATTATAGAGAGAGGCTGCGCGATCCGATCAAAGATCAAATGCATGCATTTAAGACAAAAAAAAATCTCAGTCCCCTTGATAACTCTTTCCTGACTCTAACATAAAGAGATTACGACTGAATATAACTTTGGTTATTAGCCACAAAAACTTTCTTCCATTATGAAGCGCGGTTGCTCCAATACTAAAAACAATCAACATAACACAAATGAGGAATGCAAGACATATTTGGAGAAAAAGTTAGCCATATTTCTTGGAGGAAAAAAACTGGAATTGGGGAAGGATTCGAATTAACAGTTAAACAAAGGCATTTCGTTGAAATATCACAATTTCCTATCTTGATAACTATAAGATTAGTGAATTACCGTGCAAACAATTGTTTATCTTTTCGGAATTGCTAAAAATTTACAGAGAGACAAGATAAAAACATACAGATCAAAGACTTACGAATGACAAGATGAAGACATACACAAGCAAATACAAATAGTGTCAGAACGGTGAGTGATACAATGAAAAAATAAAAATGACGATAATTTCGCTTTCCAACACAGTTGCCAACCCATGGACCTGTAAAGTTAATTGTTTACTCAACAACAGAAATTCTCAATAAATAAAAAAAAAATATTTGGTAGATTTTTCAAATGCCAACGTAATGATTTTGAAACTTCTACGTGAATTCCAGTAAGGCATTTTCTATTTAGCAATTCAACTAATCTTTATCCTCAAGTCTATTACTAATGTAACATTTGTTGTATACTTTGAAGAAATAGTTCTAAAAAACTTCGACTTTTTTCAGACAAAAAAAGCAGTGATAAGAAACTAGCAGTGATGGTCGAAGTTTAAAATGCAGTTGTCGCATACGGAACAGTGAGAGGAACGTGGTGGACGAAATAAGCGACAAGTGAAGCAATATTTCAATTTGATAAGTTGGCCGTTAATGCGCACTGCTTTGGTGCGTGGAGGTGGTCGCACTGCTTCTGGCATATTGCTTTCTAAAGAAATTCTTCAAAACAGATTGCACAACACTGAGAATTGAACTAAAACTTTTTTATTAACAAAAAAAACGAAAGCAATACTTCAATTAGAAGAAAGCTAGCAAAATCTGCATGCTTCGCACAATGCAAATTTAAAAAGGAAATAGGAAAAACGCAGCACTATCACCAACAATTAAAACATTACTGTCCAAAATTATCTGATTGTACTAGGAAGTCCAAAAATAGCATGGCATTCAAGAATTAGGAATTCTCAGATGATAAATTAGTAGTATAAACATTTAACATTTATTGTCCACTTATGGGTGTATGACTCGGATCATTTCAACATGGCAACAGGATAGAGTGAATAAAGTTCAAAGCTCAAAACATACACCAAAAGCTCACATGCAATTAAAAGAAGACTGCTGTATCTATAAATTCTGGAGAGAATCACCTGCAATACATTGTCGGTCAGCTTCGATAGCTTCCAAATTTGTAGCTTTCGGTAATATCCCTGGATCAGAAAATGATGTCTTGAATAAATTAACTAGCACAAGGCACAGTAATATTCCCGCAACTATTGGAAGAGCCGGTGAAACGTTCCAAAATAGATATGGTGCACTGTAATATTATCATACTAACAGCTAATAAATAAATTATAGCCTACTGCTAAAATCATTCCAGTAGCTTTATTATAAACTTTATTAAATCAAACTGCCTTATTATAACTTTTAATACTTCATTTGCCCCACTAATAAATAACTTTTATTAATAGATATGAATTATTAATAGATACGAATACGGATGCAAAATAAAGATCCTTAGTTCATGATACAAAATATCTTACTAATACTGATTTAAAGAGCAGTATTCTTTACCATTTACAAGTTTACTTGAAAATGCTACACTGTTTTACGGTTGGGAATTTAAAAATGGGAAAGTAAATCAACATTTCCACTTTCATGTACTTTACATGATTTTATATTCCTTCAACTGTCAATCTCTTTCTGCCTGTCTAATAAATGCTTTTGCATTTAGGCTAAAAAAAAACTAACTCAAAGACGAAAAATAAACCCATCGTTCCAGTGATAACCATCAAAGTGAAAAGAAAGATGGAACTTTGTCGTGCCATAATGATTCGACCATCACACCAAAATTGATTCCGCCCCTGATGATATCGCCATTTCCGAGTTCCAACTTTAGCCATTGGTGGCTCATTTATTTCACATTCCAAGCCTAATCCATTCAAAGGCCCTCTTCGGGCATTTTCCTGCTTTATCATTTATAATAAATTTACAATAAATCTAATCTTAAAAAAGTTATAAAAAATTTAATATCACAAGAATTTTTTCCATTCTCACTTTAGTCATCTCAAATTCCTAAACTATCAGTTCTTATAGCATTGATAAGTATAAAGCTTTAGAATGACTTTAATAGAACAAACTAATCAAACAGATGACAATTTGATACTCTACTAAGCTACATTGTTAAAATACTGCAGTAATCTATATAATAAGTATTATCAACAGGATTGGAAAACAAAGAAGGAAAGAATTAGCATAAAAACAAGAATTATTGTAAGGAATTTTTTCTCTACAAAATTCGTCGTTTAACTACCATGCAGAATAAATTTTAAATTTTAGAAAACTTCAAGAATTGAAAAAAAAAAAAGAAAAAAACGATGGCAAAAACAACAAACCTGGTACTGTTTCATAAGCAAACAATAATAAAATCTTCTGTAATCAATTTCAAAACAATACAATCTCATGAAATGAGTAGTGCAAAGTAGCACAAAACCCATTCCACTTATAACCACGCATTATTCTTTACCTGTAAAAATAAATTCTCTTTTAAATTGCAAATCAAAAAAAAAAAAAAAAAATCGGAGAAATTAATCTAATAAATTTCGCAAAAAAATTTTCAACGACATTGAATTTTTTATTATTTAGAATGATGCACATTGCTAAATTCGTATTTGAAATATTTCAATTCGTAGCATCACTCTAATCAATCAAGCCAAAATGTTAATGATTATTTTTTTTTTGCCTTTTTTTTTGATGATTAATTAAAGATATGATTTGCCAAAACAAATGTTTCTAAGTTAACTTATACAAACAGAAAAAAAGATATACTGAATAATATTAGTCATTTCAAGTGCAGTATGTAATCAAAAAGTGTTAGTTTCATCAATATTACATAATCATTATTACAACATCAATATGTGAATTGATTGTGAGAGAGAGAGAGAGGGAAAGAGGGAGAGAGAGAGGGAGAGAAGAAACAATCATTAAAAAATGTTTAAGTAAGAAAAATTGACAGGGAAACATGAATATAACAATAACTAGAATTTAAAAAAAAGAAAGAAATAAAAAGGAAAAAAAAAAAAAAAAACTGTCTAGAGAAATTTCACCAACATACACTGATTACTGCTTCACTTTAACTTTTACTTCTTCAAGAAAAAAGAAAGAAATCACGCGTATCCATCATCCCATCTTGTACGCTGGTTAATAATTCACGGACCGTGAAATTGCTGAAACGAGCAGTTGACGTTAGAATTTAAGTTTTTCGTATTCCCGAATTGTCGAGACTGGGAGGAGTAGTAGAAGAGGAGGGAGAGAGATGATAGGCTTTATAGTTCTGCTCCTCTTATTATATAATTGAAATTTCAGATGTTTATAATTGAACTGTATAATTGCTAAAAAAGAAAATATGATGAACAATGCTTTTGATGCAAAGATTATATTCATTCTATGTTGTTTCATGATATTAGCAAGAAAAATTTTCCGGTTTTCAGTTTTACTTCTCAAACTGCCTTTGATCTCAATGTTTTTTTCAAATGGCAAGAATAGAATTAAAATGTGATTTCGATTAATGAAATTAGAACTTCACTATAATTTGAAAACAATGCTTTCAATGACATTTGCAATGATAAAGCCGGAAGCCGTTGCAATACCATATATTACCAAGGTTTGTCTCTTTTTCAACCTTCTCCTATCTTTATCAACATCCCTATTGTTATCAACACTTTTTATCAACAATGTTTGAACATCAGAATAGTAACTGTTTCATCCTTCCTTCATCAACACATTCATAATTTCTTTTGTTTTAATAAATTATAAAAAGACGAATAAATTTGAATGCTCTTGCAGTATGCGTTTTTTTATTCGTTTATTTGTTAGCATTTAAGCGGATTTGAAAAACTACAAAAATTTAATGCTCTGCCTGGTTGTCTTAGTTTATTCTTCAACTCTGATGTTTTAATAGTTGTAAAACTATTGAGTGATTACTGAAATTTGCAGTTAGTCTACTGAAAATCTTGGAAATTCTTTCATAGAATAAAAACTGTCTTGACATGTTTTAACTTAAGTTGAAGTTCTTGTAAAAATCTAAAAAATAGATTGTTATCATTTTGGTCATGTGGTCGCAACTTTTTTATATTTTAAAATTGAACCATACACAAATGTATATACATATAAATAAACCATACAATATGTAACAGCAGAGGAATCAAAAAAATTTGTTTTCAAATATTTGTTCTTGCTGTACTGCATTTATTTTATAATTGTTTAGGTTATTTGGGATGAAATTTTGGTTAATAAGCTGGAAATTATAGGAGCAAAAAGGATACATTTGAATAGAGAGATGGCTAAGAAATTGTATGCAATACATGAAGGTAAGTTGTTTTATGCTTACCAACGATTATGTTTTAAATAATTTAAACAAACTGAAGTAAGGAAATATGAATAATTAATTAAGTGGAATGAATGTTTCCATAATTTAGTTGCATTTCAAAAAAAAATTGTAAACTCTGGAAAGATTATTATGGGATTGAATAAATAAGTATTAGAGGATTGAACCATGTAATTCTAACAAGGAATGATTCTGCAATTATTTTTAGGATTAATATATAATGTTAAAATTCTGGAAATCAAGACTTAAAACTGAAATTGTAGATATTGTATAAAAATTTTGCTAATTGTACAATATTTTTGCTAATCATAGCCCTGCTATCCAATAATTTCAAAATTATTGCATTATGCGTACAAGCACGTTATGATGTCATCTAACAATGTTTTGTGTTAATTTGTGTTTAACAGCACTCTTTGCAACCACGAAACATTTCAGTCTTACTTTTTTTTTTCTTTAGATTATGAGTAATGTACTTTTTTTTGCAATTAAAATTGCCAAATAATAATGAAATAACCGGTGATTTGCTTGATGAACTAACGAAGTAACTGAAAGAAAAATGATAATAGTAATAAGAACAGCTATTAAAGCTTCAGCTATTTTCATTTGCTACCAGCACTGATGTTTTCTAGAAAAGCCACTATTGATTTTAGATATTAATATCGATATGTCAGAAGTGCATTTTATAATATCGATATGTCAGAAGTGCATTTTGTGTAGAAGTGCATTTTATTTACTACTCTATTTTGCAGTCCGTTTACTCTTGTCGTATGCGTTCTTGTTTGTTTTTTAGAGTTTAAGTGGATTTGATAATCTACAAAAAATAATATTTTCTGTTTTATTTAAATTTTTTTCATTCAAATGCTTATTATGTTAGTTATAATCTAAATTTTTAATTCATCATTAGTTTTCTAATAACTTTCCATATCATTATTCATTCTTAGTTCTAATCTTGTTGATATTTCTCAATTTTACGCTCTTTTCAATTTATACAAAAGGAAATGCTAAGCCTCACTTCACATCTGGGAACATTAGAAATTTATTTGTACTAGTGAACTGAACATAAAACGTAGGAGTTAGCATTGAAAGAGGAGAAATTGAAATGAAGAGTTAAGATGTAAAAATAATAGTTTTCGTAGAAATGGATTGGATTGAGTGGAAAATGAACGTTAATTAAACTTACATACATTTTTTGAATAACCATTTTCAAATACTATCTATCATATTTTTCAGCTATATTTAGTGATGCTTTTTTTTTTTTTTTCAATATTTTTCCTGGGAATGGGCTTGTTTTCCCCTTTTATATGTTGTAATCGATTTGTTTTGTAGGAAAATTTTTCTATGAACGACTCATTCAACATGTCATAAGGTAAGTGGTTAAAATTAGAAAAATGTTGAAAGTTGAGGTTGATTGGCAAAATAAGTGGAGAAAAATTTTTTATTAGGACATAACAAATATGCAGTTGCACGATGATTCTGCTGGTGTAAAATTAGAAAGCGACAAAATGCTTTTACAATGGAAAAAAAAAAAATGAAACTTTATAAACATTGAAATAGTTTATTTGGGAGGCAGCAGTTACACCACCATGTTTTGAAATTTTATTATCTATAAATTTGTAATTAAAAAAACCAACTTAAAATCTTTTTACTCAATATTGAATGTCATTAATAAATAATATCGTAATAAAGAAAAAAAAAGAAAAAACTCTGCTGCATATTGGTTATGGTAAAATTTTTTTCACAAATTTACAAGGATTATTAGTAGATTAGATTGATTTGGTGTGTTTGATGTTGAAAATTTGATGATTATCAGTGAAATGATAGATGTTTTAACTTGAAATGTGAATTCAGTGGACCAGTGATAGTGATGAAGCTTGGATGTGCAACAGGTAATGCAATTGAACGATGGCGTGCATTAATGGGGCCGTCAAAAATGTTGCGAACATTGCAGCTGCAGAATATTTCATCATTGCGAGCTCGTTTTGCACTTTCGGATACACGTAATTTGGTACATGGAGCTGATTCACAGCAAACTGCTAACTATGAATTGAGTTTATTTGCACCGTATCCGAAAATTAACCTTCAAAGTATATTACCAAAAGTTAGTTGCTAATCTTTACGTTAGTATGTTAATCAAACTTTTTACAAATAACAGTTAAAGTCGAATTGTTAATTATTTTATAATGTTTAAAACTTGAACCGAAAACACTATCACTTATCATTTAGATTTACACATTTAATTTCAAAATGAGAAAATATGCAAAAATGATTAATTTAGTGAAAATTTATCCTTGTATATTTATCTTATTTAATATTTTTATTCATAATTATTAATTAAGACTTTTTCTTTCACACTTTTCAATTAAAATTAACTTTTCCTCTTTATATTTAGTTCATTAATCATATTTTAATAGTGAATTTTAAAAATAAATATGCATAAATCCCTGTGAAAATTTGTCTTTTCTTGTATTTATAAATGGAGCAAAATGACCAACATCTAATACCTTCTTTTCATCCAACTCTTATCATCTCTTTACCTGAATTATACATGAGATATAGTAGGAGACAAGAAAATGAAATGGCATGAGAATGGAGAAAATTGGTGAATAAATGGTCGAATTGCCTTAGGGCAATACCTACCTTCCTTATGATTGTTGCTTCGATGGGTTTGTATTTATTTGTGTTGTATTCTTATGGAGTCAAATTTTGCCATTTCTTGAATTTTCAATCTATTCACTAATTTTAAAGCATTTACAATTAAGTTTAATAAACGAAAATTGACAACTAATTGAAATAATTCCTTCCAATTTCATATATGTATTTCGAAAAGTAAAGGCATTTAATTTTATTGTATGACACAAATTTTTCAAATTTGAAGTACATTTACATGAAATGTGCAGTACGAACAGATGTATAGCGATAAGTGGACATAGACGAACATAAATGACAAATGTAGATTCAAAAAAAAAAAAAAAGAAATCATTATAATTTGGACGATAAGATTCATGCAGCAATTTCCTTATTTTGTTTATCGTATCGCCGATTTGTCGGATCTCTTCCATCTTTCCTTTCAATTTCTCATCATTTCTTAACAATTTAACTCTTTCAAGAGAT